TCGATGATGGGCTACAAAGCCAGCTTTCGATTTGCAGCACTTGCCACATTCCTCACACGTGAACCCAACGAGTCTCTCCTGTGTACTGGTTGGAACTGGTGCGGAGGCGCCAGATGATTCGTAGTATACATTGTCGAAAGTAACCAGCACATTGAAACCAAACGGGGTGGTTGGCCCTGTCTGGAGTTGCTGAACTCTTAGCTCACCCAGACTGACGTCCAGGCTACCCGGTCGGCACCACGAAGAGGTGGTTCAGCTCACCGACTATTTCACAAATCTTCCTACTCCAACCACCGCAATGATGATTCTCTTCTAGTAAGCCGGTCAGGTAGGACAAATGAACCAGTGCGTCCTGAATCAGTTTTGGCAGCCAAATCTGTGCACCATCCGACGCTGACATCCTCTGGCATGTCGAAATCAATCTTCAAGCCTCAACGTCCTCTTTATCTAGCTACCTTTATTGTTTCCACTCTGAAGTAATCAGGACAGCAGTGTGCTCTTGCTCTTACATTAACCTCGCTTGAAATTGATGTGTGTTGTGCATCAGATAGAGGAACTCAATTTACAAGCGCACTTGTTGAAACAGCTGCAACCACTCTCCACTCACTTGCGACTGTGCAAATTTGGTGACTCAGACGCCGACACGGAAGGATATGCAGGGTTTGGTATCGTCCAAAGTCACCAGGGTGAAGGATCCTCGCTTGACTGGATACCCGTTTATAGTCGCCTCCGCAAGTCAAAGTCTATGAAGGAGTCTCTAGAGAAAAGCTGATTGCTGTCTGTGTATTGTATCTGCTTCCGTCCAAACGATTGTACTGTTGACGCCACCAAGGACTAGCTTCATGACGTCTTGAATGTCCTGTTGCGATGAGTTAGAAACTCAGATATAGTTGTGATTGCCGGAGATGTGCATGTACCAGTTTGAAGGGTTACCGCATCTGAGACTCGATTAGGTGATCGACATGGATTAGACTCGGTCCTTACGCATAATGGTGAGCGATTGCTTCAGCTATGTGCTGACCGGAGTAATAACTTCCGAAATAGCCGAAGTCGTCTGGTCACTTGGTGGCCTGCAACAGCGGGCCGGCAAAAGGGCTCAGATTGTTCACATTGGCATCACTTACCATTAGCGAAGATCAAAAGGTGATTGTCGCTCGTTTTGGAACACAATTGTAGATTCCCATCAAGCACACGACCGGAGTCGGCTCCCTCTTTGTTTTCCAGATCGCTTAGTGCTTGAGAGACTGGCTGATCCGGATGCTAGACGGATTTACAGAATGATCTTTTAGAGACTATTCCAACTGCTCCACCATCAGGTGTGGATTCATACTGAAACGAAATCGCCACCTATTTACACAGTTCTAGGAGCTTTGCCTGCGGCAGGGCTCTGCCAAGCCAGCTGAAGCAATGGACATCAGAGGTGATAGTAGAACTGCTTGAATGTCGCAAAAATGTCCCCGATGGTACCGAACATGATTTTCCCCGGTGAAATATCAGATGTCAGGCAAAAGTGAGCTTGTGAGGCGACCGTGAAGCCTGGTGGACTCGGAAGACTAAGGAAATGAAAGAGGTCCAGAAAGCCGGGAATATCCAAATATAATTGCAGTTGATCCATGCAACAAATCCTTGAAGTCACCCGAGACCAAAATGGTGAAATTATCTTGAATAAAGAACGCCTCAAACGGTTAGCCGAATACTTCGAACAACAATTGTCTTGGCCATTAGCCCCTACTCATTTGGAGACTATAGCTGATATGGGACACTAGACGTTGGACATGGGATCCTCTACGGCCTCGAAGGTTTATGCTTTTTCTCGCGCCCCACCGAAGAACATGATTGCGATGGCCACCCGACTGCATTGCTCAAAGCAGTCTTTAGTCAGCGCTTGTCTGATGTGCATGCCTGCATTTGGGAAACAGGGACCATCCCAGACACCTAGTAAGAGTCGATGGTAGTGCCTATATTCAAAAATGGGCTCGTATTGAGTGAGGTAAACATAAGGAGATCAGCTTGACCCCGGTCGTAACCAGAATGTTCGCGTCACTTCTCCTTCATCGCTTTATGGTGGCACGTGAAACACTGACTCGATAGCAGCAACCAGAGTTCCGGCATGTTAGGGGTTGCACTGATCAAATCTTTACACTTGGTCAGGTGCTAGAACAAACGACCCACAATTTTACTATTCCATGGCGCGTGCAACTCGGGTGACCGGTCTATTCTCCTTGATACGCTTGCCCATCAAGGAATGCATCGGAGGTTTGAGAACGTAATAAGGTTTTGTATTCTCAGACTTTCGAGTGTGGGAGAGCATACGAAGAGCTCTTTAAAAGCTTCTGTCAGGGGTGCTCGGGCTCTGCAGTCAGATTTTATTTCGTGATGGATGCAATAATGGGAAGAAAGCTGAAAAGTCTTTAAAAGCCCAGTGTTCAGACGGCCTTTGATGAAAGCCTGGTTGACCTGGAATATGCGGACAATATTGTTCTCGTCTCCGAAGAAGTGCAGGCGTTTTTGGAAGAACTGACCAGAGTCATCCCGTCCTTTGGTATGCACTTTGCATCCACAATATGTAGGGTCATGCTCCTGGATATACAGTCACCGAAGGCGCCACTTGCGATCCAGGGGGAGGTACTGGAAGTTGTGAAGCGTTTTACGCGTCTGGAAATTTGCATTAGTTTTGATTGTAGTGTAATAGGTGTGATCAATGCACGAACCTGCAAGGCTCGGGTCACTTTGCTAGTTTGAGACATTTATGACGTCAAATTGGTCCATCCCTGAATCTCAAAGCATGTGTCAGGCTACAGTGCGGGTTATTTTGTTGTATGGCTGTCACACTTAGCCTTTTCGAGCAGCGGTTTTTGACAATCTTTGTCTCAGAGGCATATCTCATATGGGTTGGTGTCTGATAAAGCGTAACGACCGTTCGTTTGTGCAACTTCCATGGAATGGAAGAATGTGTCCAGTACCAGAAGCTATGTTTTTGTTCGGCTCACTTTTCGAGGTGTAAAGACTAGTGACCCATGTTTGGTTGACGGGAGTAAAAATATGAGAAGCACAACTTCCCTTTTTGAAATGCATGAGTACAATTGACACGAAAAATATCTTGAGACCAGTAAGGAAGAGCCAACCGTGGACTTGAGTTGCACGGATACTCAAACGTAATTTGAATTGTACTGGGATAGCTCGGCAAATATAAAACGACCATCATCATCAAACAACCTAGAGTGGGATCATTGCTACTGTCACAGCACTAGTGTGACTGACAAACCAAAGATTTCATCTTCCGGTTACCAGGGATTCATATCGCCTTCGAAATACCATCTTTCAATATCATATGCATATTTTGTGGAACACTGGATTTCAAAATTCATAAGCCGGCGGTCTTTCGTTGGAGTACTGGAAGTTGTGAAGCGTTTTACGCGTCTGGAAATTTGCATTAGTTTTGATTGTAGTGTAATAGGTGTGATCAATGCACGAACCTGCAAGGCTCGGGTCACTTTGCTAGTTTGAGACATTTATGACGTCAAATTGGTCCATCCCTGAATCTCAAAGCATGTGTCAGGCTACAGTGCGGGTTATTTTGTTGTATGGCTGTCACACTTAGCCTTTTCGAGCAGCGGTTTTTGACAATCTTTGTCTCAGAGGCATATCTCATATGGGTTGGTGTCTGATAAAGCGTAACGACCGTTCGTTTGTGCAACGGGGCTTCCATGGAAGAATGTGTCCAGTACCAGAAGCTATGTTTTTGTTCGGCTCACTTTTCGAGGTGTAAAGACTAGTGACCCATGTTTGGTTGACGGGAGTAAAAATATGAGAAGCACAACTTCCCTTTTTGAAATGCATGAGTACAATTGACACGAAAAATATCTTGAGACCAGTAAGGAAGAGCCAACCGTGGACTTGAGTTGCACGGATACTCAAACTGGGATAGCTCGGCAAATATAAAACGACCATCATCATCAAACAACCTAGAGTGGGATCATTGCTACTGTCACAGCACTAGTGTGACTGACAAACCAAAGATTTCATCTTCCGGTTACCAGGGATTCATATCGCCTTCGAAATACCATCTTTCAATATCATATGCATATTTTGTGGAACACTGGATTTCAAAATTCATAAGCCGGCGGTCTTTCGTTGGATAGTTTCTAGTCGAAGAATTTTCAGCAAACTTGTGAGTAGTTTCCTTTATGAAAAGTTTTCAACAAATTTATTCAGGACTTTTGGATGCTGAAACTGGGAGTAAATGTCTGGAACGGAAACCCTGAGGAACAGAAATGTTCAGGATACGAATAAATTAGAGTGCGCAGATCTGATGAGCAGTTTTAGGTAAGCTAATGCGTGACGACCTGTGAAAAAGACTTGTCAACCCAATTTGTTAGGATCACAAGCACAAAACTTATACCAAAATCCTATACCTCCCCATCGAACATTCCAATCAAATAATATTAGAACTTGGAAACCAACAGCCTAGAGTAAATTTCATCAAATGAAATGCTCAGAAAGTAAAGAACAAAAACGCCCATTCGGGCAAACGGAACCCATCCCAGACATTCAATGGTGATTTACCTTTGTAACCAAAAGGAACCTCATTGACGGATTCTCCCCCGTCTGCCAAGAAACTTGTGCACAGCCTACAGATCCGTGCCCAACAATAAATCCACCGACCCCGTTCTGAAATGTGACAACTAGTACTTCACATCCTACAGGTGAGGTTGGTGTGATCAAACTGTTCTGCTAAAGTTTACAGGGTGGAATCTTTAAAATATAGGCGATTTGTGCATTACTGATTAGCCTCAGCACAACCAACTCCGCTTATAAGATGTTATTTAGATTTAAAACCCTGAAACCTTCCCACTTACTGCAGAGGGCACTGCAATTCTTGAGTGAAACAGACTTTAATCCCAGACACCAGGCTTTGTCTATTCAGTCACTAAATCAGGTGCCTTTTTTAGCCATTTGCTTGTCCAGTTGCGCTACGCCACTTAGAGTTAAATTGCAACCGCGTATCAATGGATTAGGAGGGGCGTAACAGTATGTGCAAAATCACAAGTATGTCTCTTTTGCTCATCGTACCTATTAGGAAATTCGACTGTTCAAGCAAGGTCAGTCACTGGTAGAATGACTGAAAAATGGGCAGTGGTCTTGTTTGGGGGCGTGAAGGTCAACCAAGTAATCGGCTATTTCCGTCCAGTATCCACATGTCAGCAGCTCCACAGGCGGCTTCAAAAGGTGTGGCCATTTTCAGGACATCTCTACAGTGGAACTACAGAATGTGCGCTTGTTTTAATGTGGCAGATAACGGAGTATGCACCATTGGTACCTAGTGCCTTATTTTTGTGTAGATAAATACACAAAGAGATCAAATGAGTAATGAGGCGAAATTCGGAAGTCTTGCAGTCATCTACAACCTTGAATTTATCCGAACCATTTGCTTTGATTTGCAGTTCCACTACTAAAAAACAGAGTTTTGTTGGTCAGGTGCACACATGAGCCAAGCTTTTTAAGGAGCACATCCCCACAACCAGGTTGTACTCAAAGCAGGGTTCTTGGTCTTATTAGTGTACTGTAAACAATCCTAGAAGACTTGCACCGTACAAACTTTATGTCTCCTCCTCTGTCAAAGCTCTATGGGTGATCTGCCTGTTTCTAATTTTATCCCTGCGAGTGTGCGTAGACCAAAGTTCTGGGTGATAAATTTTTCCTGGGCTAGACTAGACGGCGGACCGATCCACACTTAGAGGAAACTAATGTGTGCTAACATTCAGACAGAGTGGAACGTTAGCCACCGGACGGTGGCTGGTTAGTTTATTAAAAAATTGCTAAAGGTTGCCAGTGTCAAAATCGGAAACAACAGCTGTCAAACAGTCTAAAAACAAATGAGCGGCAATCAAGTTGTGTCAGCTTGCAACGAGCTGTCGTAGATTAATGCGCAAAACACTACCGTTCAGTCGTGAAAATACATCGTGCGTTTGAATGATTCCGGTAGTTTTAGGACAATGAATCAGTAAACCGTGCATCATTCCTATTCAAGTCTCCGTTACCCGACCACGCTAATATGTTGAGTTTCGAGGAACAAGGGAGTTATCCTGTTTCGAAAATCCTGATTTATTATAGATGCACATAGTACCAAAAATCCCAACAAAAAGCTGATTTCCACTACCGAAGTATCAATGTAACTATTTAGCTTTCCTAACGGATTACTGGGATCAAATCATTCTGAACAAGTGAAACCCGTCGAAATTGAAAGTGCATTTAAAAACTGGCCCTCTTTATGACCCCATCGAATTCCGATTGCACTGTGATGGTCTTTTGTCGAATTGACTAGGTATCCGAATTAAGTCTGTATGTCTTTCAATTCTATAGTAAAGTCGTAATGTTACACAGTCTTCGAGGAAGAACCTTCGACGGTATCACAATTCTCAATAGACATTTCTCCCTGTAAGTAAGACTACTCTATGCTTAAAAGCTCAGGAACTCTACGCACCTGTTTCACTCTTTTTTTGGATCATCTACAAGGAGCATCTCACACGAATACGAGTATATTGGAACCCGTAATCTTTCGACCACGAAGTGAACACTACCTTTTGGCCAAAGGTGGCCAAACAGTGGTGTGATTAGCTCGCACTTAGGTAGGATGTAGCACCAATCACCCTTCAATTTCAAATTGTTTCGCTTGTTTCCTGAGTTGAAATAATGAAATTTCATTTTTGATCCTGGCATTTCTCATCCGCTTCCGATAGCTTGTAAGAAAATTCCCATTCTCTTTCGAAGTGATCGCATATTTTGTCGCACTACTCATATCAGGTTCAGTCAAAGGGGATAGATTGATTTGAAGTAAAAGTGCGATAAACTGGTAAAGGTGGTGATTCACCAATAAATCTGGCTCAGTGAAACAAGACATTTTTGTCGGACTGATTTCGCTATTTGGATTATTGAAATGTTTCCCCTCTTGTGTTCTGGATGCCTGATACTTCAAAATGTTCTCTGTGACTGCGAGGTTTCATCTCGAAAGGCTGTTTTGACGGGGCAAGTGCTAAAATAGATCCGGTCACTTTTTGCTTAATGCATGCAACGAAATTAGCAGACAGATAAATCACTTTCTGTCTTTCAGTGCTTGTTTTTTATTATCTTATTTATATCAAAACAAGCAGAGTAAATTTTCTCAACCCACACTACTCACATTAACTCTTCAAAAGATCAGCTCACAATCGGTTTCTCCGCTATTGAAGTTCTTGGCGTAGCTCCAGTGTACTGTGAAAAGGTTGTCAGCAAACTTGTATAAGTAGTATTTGGCAAATAAAAAAGCTGCTCAAATTTCGTCAGCATTGTTCCAACTGAAGTATTAGGTGACTTACATATGGCTTCGTTTAGTCACCAAAAACTGATTCCTGCATTAGCAAAAACTTTATTTGTGAGTGTGGAACACCATGGTGTATTAGTTCATTTAACCTGTCCTGTCGAGCGAGATGGCTCAGGTGGTTAGGGTGCGAATTCACTGACCGGAAGATCCGTTGTTTGAATCCGACCTCTCCATCTCGACTTCACCTGTCTAGGCTTGGGCAACCTGGCAGAATCGTGTTTCCTTCGGGTGGCCTGGCAACTTGGCACCGAAAAGTTGTTACTGGTGCACGAACCTGTCGTATCTGTAATGCAAATGAGTTGCCAAATTTTCACCTCTTTCAAGAAGTCCATGTAGCTGTGCACAAAAATCTAGCAACTCTGTCGTTAGATTTCTTTGTTCATCTATCGAGCGCCGAGACACCAATACGACTCACGTCAAATAATATGACAGTCTTGGCTTAATAGTGATCACTAGCTTGCTTGATGTTGTGCAAATTTGTTCATTCATTTGTTGGCCTACAGTCTTACAACCTGATCGAATGGTTCCGCATACGTTGTTCACATAATTGCATTGTCTGCAAAAATGTGGACAATCATATATTGACAGGGTATGGTTTTTCTACCCCCAAGCCATCCAGGAGAGTTAGGGTATTAGTTACTACGCACCGTACAGCAAAAACGAAGTTCCTCGAAAAAAGTAGAATGTGACATAAGTGATGAAGTAAAATCGTGAGATCAGATAGATAACGCACTTGCTATATTCACTAGATGCTATTTTCTTCGTGCTGCGGGTTGCACGCAAAGTCTGAGGAATACATGTGTTTTACCCGAAATATTCACTAGATGCTATTTTCTTCGTGCTGCGGGTTGCACGCAACGTCTGAGGAATACATGTGTCTTTACCCGAAGCAAAAGGTACACCTAGGTTATGTTTCCAACCAAGCAGTGGTCAGACCGTCAAACATGACCCAGAAGCTAAGGGATGGAATCACTGTACCAAACGATAAGGTCATACCTGACCCATAAATACTTGCAAGTACTATACTGAAAGATGAGAGTCGTCCATGAACTAACAACTATCCCCAACTGCGAACCAAATAGCCACAATAAGTTTGTCTTACATCCTCCGGTCAGTACCATAGATTATTTCACAATATCCAATCAGTAACACGATCCTCCTTTACTCTACGGATGTCTTGCTATTTCTTGAGGATACCGGTGACGCAAAATGGTGGATACTTCCGTTAGATCGCAATCGAAAGATGTAATGACCTTGCTATTAGAACCCCGATCAACCCAATAGCTTTTCTGTAAGAAGGCAGGCATCATATTTTCCAGCCTATTGGAGAGAAACAGGCTATGCATCAGTGATGTATAAAAAAACTCAATCAGATGGTCCTACCATGTGAAATTCCCATTACATCTGTACCAGATCAGGCGGAAACCTAGCGTCAACGTAATCAGCTTGATGACTTTTTGTTAACGAAACGACATTTTGTATCAATGGTTTCGCGGTGGCTTTCATCTACTAGGAGATGCATCGAGGATAGAGGAGTTTGAAATCGCCGAAATCAGTTCTTCCGGAGAGGTTGCTCACTTGGCAATGTTCGTTCGACCCCCACCTCCGCCACTCGACTTCCCCTGTCTAGGCTTGGGCAACCTGACAGTATCCCAGCCCTCGTGCTTCCTTCGGGTGGCATGGCAGCTAGGCACCGAAAGGGCGCTACAGCTGAACGATTATATTTATATAATGTTCACGGTAACTAGTAGTAGCAAGTATGACCCTAGAGGATTTACCCAGTGGTATGGTTGGCGCACTTTTACCAACACTGAATTGTTGCCTGCTTGGGATCACCTCAACGCATTCGACCCACCTGCACAAAAACAAAATGACATGATAGCCAAAGATCCTCACTGGTTGCTGGGCTTTATCCTGATGGATGGTTTGGTCAAATCCCTAACTGCCATACTGTACCGCTTTTGGTTTTCCATCTTTAGGTTTATCCCGGTCAGCAAGCTGAACTGGAGGACAAGATGGCGTTAGAACCAGCCATGGTACAGTGTGCACACATCACGTGACACGTCTGTTGTCACACTATGTAAAAAACGACTGAAGTTTATCAACACTGGTAATAAACTGGAATGGCTGTCATACGCTGTCACTGCTCGATGTCATTATTCAAACAGTAGTTTGTGCGTGACCGTAACACATATGATTTGACAACTTCGAGGGTATGATATCTACCACATTTGTAAAAGTTACCATTTCTATAGGCTTTCGTGTTTTTTTTCATCAAAAGTCGTCCCTGACTTTCGGGTAGGACAGACTGGAAGTGGAGCTGAATAGAGATAAGTGCCTTTCGTATTATCAAAAGTTCAAAACTTTTTCAATACCATTCTCTTACGATTTAATGGATTCGGGATCATTGTGAACATTGCTTATTTGGATGTATTATTTGGTGTGAGGAAGGACGCAAATTGTGCCAGAGAAACAACTGTTATGATTACGATGCCACACTGCTTAAAACAGGATATAATAGCGTCTTTCATGGAACTTGCACATCAGCATTCAGTCGAAACCCATTGAATATAGAAGAAATGACTCAGAGAACTCAGTGTAGAACTCAGTTAGATTGTCATAAACACCCAAGACAAGTCTTAGTAAACTCTTCGTATATTCCATCTCAGCAAAGTCAAGTGGCTTGGAAAACCACACCATAACGTTGGATCATACTGCGAAATTCAGGTTATTTCGGTATGCTTGGCGCTTGTCAAGTACGTACAGTTTCTCCATACACTTTCACATGTGTCTTTCGATAGTAAAATGGGCATCAAAATGTGTCGAGTGCTCTTCCTGGGCCATCTGATGGCCTGCAGTCCCTTTAATGAGACACAGTACCTGCTCTGCCGTGCCTCAGTCACTTACTCCAACAAGTTTATTTGCACTTTCTCATCATGCCAGCAACCCCACCATCCAAAACGGTAAGAAAAAATTAAGCTGATATGGTGTACAGCAAGATACAGTTCTCAGTTTACTCTTGTATGACCTTAAGAGGTACAGCGGATGGTCAGGTCTAATAGATGGAAATCCCCAGCTAACCCCATCATTTAACTGGGTAGGTCAACCTTTTTTATTTTTCTTTCATGATCAAATCAGCTTTGCCCTTGGCTTGTAGTTCATCATATTATACATAAAAGTACGGAGCGTTCATAGGTTGGCTTATTCTATTATTAAGTGCAGACAGCCAATCCTGTCAGTCTACTGCAACCAAAAGGTTCCTGGCGATGTTTTGGGCACGATGTTTAAAAAGCATTTAGGTATCGTTGCCTGCGTCAGCTGACCGAAGCTTACTTCGGTATTGAAACTAGCCCGGGTTTCCCGGTATCTGCGTTCATTTCGCATAGTCTCAAATGGTTGAGTAACACGATATTTACCCTCGTTGTGCTCTAATCTTGTTTTTAGCCCTTTGTTTCCTATTCGAGTCCTTGTACACCGGTACTGGAGTATGACGCGTTTGAAAAATGGTTCACTAACTTCCGATTTGCGTACCCTAAGTAATTTGTAGAACGAAAAATCAAGGTCATATGTTTATCGTAACGTTCTCAACACATTTGGATCCAAGAGGGGAAACGCCAACACAACTGCCTCAGTGCCTGTTACGTTCACAATGACATGTCATTTTAGGGCACGGAATATCTAGCAAGTCAAATGAATGATTCAGATGTCATATTTCGTGTCGCCTTGAAGATAAAAGTGATCACACGTATATCTTTGTAATGTACTACTCATAAGGTTGCTGAAAATCCGTCGACAGCCCACCACCCAGAAGGGTGGTGGTGAGTAGTACACTAAAAAGATATACATGTATCGCGATATCTCGAATATCGTAGCGAATGGAACATGAAGCGGCCTGGTGCAGCACATTCAAATGCCTGAAAACATCACAAACAAGAGATTCAGCTGGGTTTCAGGTGAGTCTTTCGAAATTAGTTTGTAAATGAGTGTATATTCGCTGAAAGTGATCACAGTTGGCCAGTCCGACCATCAAATGAGAGTAATATAATGCTTTATTCTGGATATAAGGAACTAATGAAATCACTCTGAACTACACTGACACATTACTTATTGGAAATTCAACTTCAGAAAATACGCAATGATACAGGGTGGTGAATGGAAAGTACCAATTTTAGCCTTCCGGTTACTTCATCAAAAGGACGCCTACTTACTTGTGAGTTGGTACGAAGACCAAGTTGAACAATGATATTTATTTGTAATTATTTTCAAATAATCGTTCAGATGTAATACTGTTTAAGTTTCTAGCTGTTTTGTCGCCCAAAGGAAGCACGAGGGCTGAAATGCTGCCGAGTTGCTCAAAAGAGAGGGGCCACTCGAAATGCAGCGTTTAGATTTGAACCTCGGATATCTCGGTTAGTGCCTTAACCACTGAGCCATCTCGGGCTCTTTTATTAATAAGGTCGCTGGACTACCAGAGATCTGTTTAAGGTCCCACGTGGCTATACTTCAACTCCTCATTTTCATAGGTCGTTTTGTGCAATCCAATAGGTGTAAACTTCTGCTGGTCTCTATCAAGCCCAAATGTACGAATCGGACGCTGTCACACTGGGGACAAATAGCCAGATCTGTGAACAGTATGGGTCAGGGGACACTTATGATCATACACGAGAGACACAGCTCTTCACTTCTTTTTGCATCGTTCCTGAATAACCGTATATTTAAGTGAACTGAATTCGATCCTTCTCAGTATTCGCCATACTGGTATTATAGTAAAGCCTCCGCTTTGTGCTTTCAGGTAGTTTGCTGTTTGGCGGCCTTTGGCCTCCTGGATCATTTGAATCAATGTCCTGATTGCTGGCCTAGTAGCTTGGATTCGTTTTTTATGTATCACGCTGAGTCTGTCACCTGTTTTCGGAATATTTTCTCCAGTACGGCAATACAAACTTAACAACCGCAACTTGTGTTCGGTCAAACCAGTTGCAACTGATTCGTTTGCCTTGAAGAAAAAAAATGGTCACGAGCTTGCTGAAAACTGTTCGACAGCCCACTAGCAGTTTCGCTCTTCTTGGGGCTCATTAGGGAGGCCCGGTCCCCGAGTTCCCGTTAACCTTATGCCATTTGAAAGCCGAGGCTAATAGCGGGTGGAATCAGTTCGCCTTGTTCCGCTAGGCACGAGCAGTCAGGCGTCTGGATCGATATTTTCACACTCTCCTCCTTCGCTCACTTACGCTCAGCTTGAGCAGCTCATCACTACCACCACTGTGAGCGTAAGAAAATCCAAGCGAACCATCCCTACTGCTTCCACTTTCTCATCCGACTCTTTAGTTGGGCTTGACTTTCTGACCCAGTGATCTTTTTTGGTGCGAAAAGGAGACGTTGACTGGTCGTGTGAAGAAGCGGCCCTCACACCCAGCCTCAATCGTTCATACGAAGACGAACAGTGATAGTGAGCATTACGAACGGTATTCACCACAATGATCCTGACATTTTCCTTAATTCTGGCTGAATCGCTAACCACGACCCTCCTCTCATATGACATAAAACAGAGCTGGAGGATGTCCACAGTCATCAACTGCAGAATTCAAAGTATGGAGAGATAATAATCAAGTCAGTCCTCTAAAACGACAAAGCAGCCCACCTTGAAGTGTAAACCGGTCCTTTGGTATAAAACCTCATAGCTTGTGGAAGCAAAAGGCGCCCAGAACACATCAAATTCCACGTATGTTGATATAGCTGGATTGATCGTCCACACGCCTCACAGGTCAAGCCTTACATCCACTACATTTCTCGCATTTCACAGTTTGATAAATTGCATTACGAAGATACGGTCATCACTCAATGTAAGGAGCCAGCAGTTTAGCCAATTTCGATCAGTTATTTCAACCGGGGTTGTTGATTACTTTTTAAAGCCGACAGACTGCGCATTAGTTCACAGCATTCTGCTGAAAAATTTAGTGATACGAGTCATGTTTTGAAGGAAGTACCTGAGTTTATTGCTATCGTATGCTGTAGTTCAAGTGGCAGTCAACATTGAAACTGCAAGAGGCAAGAATGTTTGGCTCATCTTGTCCGGGTCGCTTGTGGGTTGGACTGCTATGGGGACACCTAGCTGTCCGCTGTCATGTGATGAGGGGCAATCGATCGTTCAGTTGAAGAGCTCATTTTGGTTGTAGGTGGTTGTGGTTGCTCTTACATCTCATAAACATGAACGGAATCGAATGTTCGGACGTGATAATTCAGACACTTCCAGCATGCGCCGATCGGGTAGCGGTAGCAAGCTCGCCTAGCTTGTCAGACGTCCTGTGTACAAGCGCAAGAACGGCCAAGGAGAGGCATCGATGATGAGCTCTACTAAGAAACAAACCCGAGTCCACCACTTTTTCCATCCACCTAGTGAACTCACTAGGATAGTTGTCCCAATATACGAGGAGGACTGCACAAACGAAAGAGTGAAGTGAAGGTGAGTTCGGTTTTGTCAAGCTTCACTGTTTGCCCTCGTTCCTTCGTGAGTCGCACACTATTTGATCAGTTCGGTTAGTCTGTCTGTGTTAACCCTAAGACGACTCGATATGCAGTGGACTTTGTGTCATCTGAATCAGATAAACTCGGGGATCCTGCGTGTCACACCTAGCCACGTCCGAGGCGAGAGCAGCATTGATATCTCCCTAATCCATGGTGTGTGTCACACGTCGGTCAAGAATGGATTCGCACTGCGTACAGCCATGAAGAGATGCGGAATGGATATTCGTAAAACGCGATGACTTCCGCGATTTTGTCGAGGCTTGCAAAGTATGACGTTCTAGGTGAGGTTTCATCGGTATCCGGAGGCTCAGGCCAATTATACTACACCTGCCGTGAGTACTTTTGGGGTTCGTTCAGCCGTGCCAAAGTGGGAGATGATTGTAGCCGGTAGATCGCGTTTGCGATCGCTGGCTTTTGAGTCATGCTCCAGGACTTATGGTACCCCAAATTTTAGCTACACAATGGGTGCATCAATCTTGGTGACCTCTTATTTTCCTTCATGAAAGAATGGGTGACAGCGGTGAGCGTGTTATACTTTTAAGGAGGTGAATCAATGAGTGGTTGAATTTAAGTTGAACGTTTTCAATATTGTCTACTTCAAAGGGGATTACAGATTACTGTCAAAGCCGTCCAACTGTTATTGTAAAATTCTACGGTTCAAACCCTTGTAAAGCGTTGTCTGTACGTGTTACGTTCTGTGCGCTATTTTTGAGCTACGCGATTCAGTGAGTTGCGTTAGATTTACCTTCCTCGGTGAACACATGTGCCTACAATTCCTCACGAATAAGGGTAAAGTTTTTAAGCAAAATGGAATTCTTTTTTAACATAGAAAATCATGGGGTATTTGGAAAGATTAAGCGAGCGCGTTGGGACACGTTGGTACTCATATTTCCGCACATGTTTCTAAATGAAGTTGCCTAACTTCAAAGCGTGCATATTTTCAAGTGAAAACCTTCTCAGAATGGCCGAAGACTGTGGTCACCAAACGTTCTCCTAACGCATCGCTCGCAAATGTCACAAAAGAGTGATCCGGATTAAAATCGCTCGTTTGAGAAGGCTACTGTCTGCAACATTGTTAAGAGTTATACCCTCTGTGTCGATTACTTGAAAACTTTCCTTCCTGTTTGGTCCAAAGTAATTCAGTGATTAAGTCTTACGTTTGGGGAAGGCAGTCGTTTTTTCAAACTGTGTTACTTGCCGAGGGGCGTCAGTCTAATTTTTGTATAGACATAATACAGCAGTCATAAGTTTGCTGAAGACACTTCGACAGCCCACGGACGATTTTACCCTTCTTAGGTGTCACCAGGATCCATCAACTTCATGTTCTACTTGGACCCACATTGCATGAATTTCGATTTATATCTCCATCCAACATACGAATGAACAACATCAGAAACCGAGCTGAGTTCCAGGTATCTCCCGTCAAAACCAAATTGGTATGCGGACAGGCGTTTAAATCTGTACTCAAATTTGTTCTGACCTTTGTCTACACAACGTGAAATTCTTTCGTTGAATGACTTCACTACCGTGTGGCTGAGATTCACCACGTGTAAGACCTGCGAGTCTAAGGATGCGCCGGACTAAAGGGTTAGAGTAAGACCCTTCATTGCGTGCACCCTATTCAATGAGAACAACAATCAGTCCGAGGAGAAAACAATCTGGAACGGAAGCATGTGAATCTCAGCGGACTCGATTCAATAGCCAGAACGTTTTAGGTTGTATTCCCGTCATTATTCTCCCGAGAATTACAGTAGAACGACCACCATTCGTTTCCTATTTTTCTGCACCTGAAACTACCTGAAACTGGGCCATTATCCTATGCTTTATTCAATTAAAATACGTATTTGTTGTTTTTAGA